TTTTTAAAAAAGCAAGAAAAAAGTTTTTTTTTAAAAAAAAAAAAAGTCAGGATTGGATCTCACTTTCATTCTAGCACAAAACACAAACTAAATATTTGGATATATCACAAAAAAAGAGAAACCATTGACAGTCTAATGGCTCAAGGCCATATTCTATCCCATTCAAATGAATCTGAAATTTACAATAAAATTCAAAATAAAACCACTTAAAATGTTGGCAGTGAGTACTAGCCCTGACCCTTGTTTCAGAACCACACTGCAATATACCCAGTGCTTCAACATGATTCTGAACATGGCAAATTCCATCAGCAGATTAAGACCCTCAGTCATTCACATTAGGTCTTTGTTTTGGCCTCTGGCATTCCTCCTGTTTACTTCTATCTTCAAGTTCCAGTGCAATATCAACAACTTGCCAGCTCATTCAAAACCTGCAAACGGCCCATTCCCCTTCCACTGTGAATTAATGCATAAGACATTGGAAATAATCTGAGCATGAAGTAACATGACCAGCTTCTACCTCTAGTAAACTTCTTGGCTACTTTGTTTACAAAGGAAAACAAAGCAAACAACCCCCCCCTCCCCCCAAAGCATCACATAAAATAACAAACTCCAAAAGTTTCCGGTCCTAGTGTTCGCATTTTCTCAAACAATTCAATTCTCCCTAAAGCCACCTTCATTAAAGTTTCCCTACCTTAATATTTGCTCTCACAAAAAAGTCTATTTTCTTCTTGCAAAGTTGTGTTGTGCTAACAACATTAAATTCTTATTCTTTTGAACTATCTTGCTAAAGCAAGCATCAGTTATATCAGCTTGAGGATCTGTTCAGTTCTCACTTAACCTTCTCAGTGAGGAAAAAAACCAACAAACCCTATCGGTCCAGTTCATTCTTTGCCTTCTGAGAATAGTAATGCTCTCCGCCATAAATTCAGCTGTATTCAGGACTGTGCATATGCCACAGTAGATTAGTACTGCTGCAAAATATTTCTACAATTTTTTAATAAACCCTACTGCTATTGAATCTATAAGTGTTTTTTTTTTTTTTTTTTTTTTTTTTTTGCTTGGTTTGGTGTCCACCCGCATCCACCCTTTCTTCTGGCACCAAGACTTGGCTCCCTGTGCATCCCATTTCAGTAATTCTACAAAACCCTAAAGAACTACCTAAGGCAGGTTGATTTGCTGAGTGCTAAAGATATAGAAAGCGTAGGGTATGACACATACTATTTTATAGTAATAGTTTTCTTCAAATGCATATTCAGTTAACAGAAACCCAGGTCTGGCATAGACATGGGCCTATCTATACTCACTATGTGCAGCTGCAGAAAATCACCAAGCCCAGGGGCACTGTCAATCCGAACAAGAATGCCATCCTTCACTGTTGTGCTGAAGCCCACAGCAAGACGGTCTGTCCTTGTGCTCGGTCTGTCATTAGCTGGCCAGGTGTACAGGATGAGACCTCCACTCTTCCCAAATATATACGTGGCACCAGCTACAAAACACAAAACCAAAGAAAAAAGTATTAGTTACCCATTTCATTTACTTATTTGCCAACTTTGGTAATAACGCTATGACTTCCAAGAGGAATATAAGCAAGCATATGCTTTCATTAGTTAAAGGGGTGAAATTAATGCCTCCTACTGGTTGGGCTACTGATAGCACAAGATGACTCCATGAAAATTTATTAATAGAGTAGATGATGGAAATATGTATTTCCAAACTCGACCAGGTAACAGAAGAGGACAACACATACTCAAATCCTTCTATTTTGTGACAAATGACATCGTGAGCCCTCTTTGATATTGGAATTGATTCCATATGTGTTATAAGACACACATGAAATGGTGCTTTAGACTGCCCTCTCCAAATTCTCATGTGTTCTTCCTTCTATAAAATTGTAAGTTTTCCTTTGTAGGACAATGGCTCTGGGATGCTAGATACTTTTTCTGATGGAAGGATATATGAAAGTGAAATAGCTTTTTATCAGACAAAACATATCTGTTCCTTCACCATTAGCCTTGCACCATTAGACTTGATAACAAAACATGTAATTCCCTCCTTATGGAAAGTTCATCCTTCAGATGAACATGGACTCGAGACTCACAAACACTTCCAGAGAGTAATCTAAATGTGCATGTATGTTATTCAGAACATCCTCATGTTCCTACACACATCACAGCGGGGGAACTACAAACAAACAAGCAAGCTTCCTCTTAAAGTATGAATCACTCAAGAAATTTCTTCTGTATACAACCTGCTGAAGTACGTTTTATTAGTTCCTAAATAAAGACAAGCAGCATTTAAGATAAAGATAAGTGAAGAGCTTATCAAGAATGAATGATTTCATTAGTGCTAATATCCCAGACAATGCCAGCTAGGACACTGCTGTTGGGGAAAAAAACCAAGCCACACCTGTTTCAGAAGCATGGGATTCAATCTCATATGGGGATTCAAAGGGAATATTTGGCAGCTCTCCTTAAGGCTGGGCTTGTCTTCAGCTGAAGACTATTCACACACAGTGGGAGACTATCCTTTTCTCAACACTTGCTAAGAATTTTAGATATCTAGTCCACATATTTCCAGCATTGTTCGTCTTTACAGTGAACCTGGGAACTTGTTCCCTGACCTTGTTTTTAAGGGCAACACCAAACCCCTCCAAAGCTGAACACTGTCCTCCCACATTCACGAGGGCCATCTGAGCTGAGCAAGACAGACATGCAAGTGAGGAATTATGGTCACAGATGAAGAAGCTGAGTAGCAAAAGCATTCGGAGTTCACATTCTCACTGGTACTCAACACTGAGTTAGAAGCAGGATTTTGTAACTCAGCAGTTATAAAATCAGCCCCTGAGCTTCTTGTAAAAATACAGTTAAAATTGCTGTGCTAGACCCAAATCTACAGGCAGGACAGGAGCAACACTTGTCAATGCTTCAGCCACTTACTGCACCTCATCTTCTGAGCACTGTTACAGTGGGTCACAGGCTACAGAATAGTAAGCAAAAATAACCAGCTCCCATTTACTGCATCAGGGATGAAGTATCTGTAGAAAGTACAGGCAATGTACTGGGTACATTTTCCAGTCTGAATGAAACTACAACTGAAGGTCTTTTTTCTTCCCCACCATATACCAATCAGCAACACGTATCAAGCAACCCCGAACAGAATAAATGTAATTAGATACAGAAAGAGGTGGGATCATCCATGGCTAACTTCTACACTTGCCTACAAAGCTGCAGCTCCACTAAAGCTCTTTATGACCTGAATTCCAAATAAATACTACATATTAGTAGAAATAATGGATACACTTCACCCCTGCTTGAGAGGCTTCTTCTAGACATCTCAGCACACATTACCAAAACAGACATCAAAAACTCAGGCACACAGAAGGGAAATGATTTGTGAACAGCTGACTCAATAACAGAGTGAAAATGAATCCATGTTTCCTTCCTTCCAGGTCTGTGCATACCCATCAGAACATGCCCAGTAAATTCAAACAAGTGTGTCTGAAATCAGGATTAGGTAGGAAATTTCACTCATAATTCTGAATTAACAAAAGAGCACATTGGCATACTGGAATGGTGCACATACATCATTTCAGTTCCAGAAAGATTAATTTTACAGACTGAACTCTATCTCCTCATTCAGCTTTGAACTCAAGATGGAGGTTGCATGACTATTGAAAAATATGTAGAAAGGGGTTTTGTTTGTCTGTTTAAATGCATCCCCAACCATATCTGTAATCTCTGGGTTAGAGAGAGATAGTTGGAGATGACCTGCTAGTGAATTATCTATGGCTTCCCCCCATGCACAGGTATATCAACAGCCCACTATAAACTACACTATAAATATCCGCCCTCAGTTTATCAGTTTGTTTTAAAAGTTGTGTGTATTGCATTACAGACTAAAACAAGGCATAGCAATGTGTTAAGTAAAACAAGATGAATTAACTCATTGTTGATGGCTTCATAGATTAAAACCCACCTTCCAAAACTATTCTCACTTGAATTGCAAGTTCTCCTCCTTTTCTTTGTACTGGTTATCAGGCCCTTCAGCAGCAAAGACAAGCTTGGAAGAGAAGAGTTCGCTATTTATGAAGACAGATGATTTCTTTGCCTCTCTAAGCACTATTTGGCTGCAGGTAGAGCATGTCAGTGCTCCTGTGAGTGCCAGTTAGAACCAATTATGTCTTCATAGGCCTGTCACGAGACTCAACTGCTTAACTGAGCTCATTTTCTCCTCAGAGAACACAGATTTTTGCTTCTAGGCCCAACTTGAAGATATTCATTACTTTGGGTTTATGCACAAAGATGATTCAGATGCAACAACCAGAGCAGCACTGCCCAAACTAACCTGTTAACTGAAGCCTGATGGCCAGCAGTTGTTTCCTTATTGCCCAGGATCAGAATTATGTCCATAATGATAGATAGGCCACTTGTTTGTTGAGTATGTCAATGTCCCTTTCCTTCCCCACCTTTTTGAGGGTATACAGGATACCCATTGCCTTGTTTGGAAAGAGATGGCATATTAATGTTGCACCAGTACCACTTTTTTCCCCAAAGCATGAACAAAATAGTCACTGCAGTCTGAAAACACAAGGTGCAGACACCAAGTAAAAGTGGAAGAGGAAGGATAACAAGAGTTACTACCACACTGCAATCACATGAAAAAAAAAAAACCCACCCCCCCAAAAAAAACCAACCAAAAAAACACCAAAACCCCAAAAACCCAAAACACAACACAGACACACTTGTTTTAAATGCTTCTATTTGACTGCAGCAACCATAAGTTTATGGAGTTTAAAACTCCAAGAGAATTGAACAAGACAAACAGTAGAATTACAACCCTGGACTTCAGGAAAGGACATTTCAGCTTCACCAGAACTTGACAAGGCGTGAACAACTCTATCTGGTTGGCCTTGCTTTAAGCTGGAGGGAGTGAGCACGTTGGACTAATTTACCTCCAGAGGTCCCTTCTGATCTTAAATTGGTAACTATCCTTTCTTTGTGATCTTGCAGAGAATTGTAGACTAATTAAGTGAAGAACTCAGTTAAGAAAAAAAGCTGATGAAAGTCTGTTCAGCTTGAGATCTTCTCATTGCACCTAAGCTTTGTTACAGACCTCTTTATTACACAAAAGCACAGGTTTTTTTTTCCAAGACACTTTCTATTCAAGACAGACAATGGATAATACACTGTTAATGAGCAGCCACTTGATATTTAGGTTTTGCTCATTGTTCAAGGTTTCGTTATATACCTCCTTTAATAAATACAACACCAACCGTGCCCTGAAAGTAGAAAGTCTGAGGGACTGATTAATTCCATTGTATTTATTGCTACAGTGCTTCACCACTTCAACTATATAACACTAACTTCAACCTATACTGCGCAAAAAAAGAAGAAAAAACCCCTAAAATCAAAGATATGAGCACACAAAATTATTTCCCCAGTCAGCTGTGAGAAATCCCACTTCTCAAAGTGCCCTGGGCCAGATTTACTGTACCGATGTGTGAGAACAACTGGGAACAGAATATGTTCAGTGACTCTACTGGGATCCTGCACGCAGAATTTGGTCAGCATTGGGAGCTCAGAGAAGTGAAAAAATACATGGTGAGGGAACACTCCCTACAGATTTAAGCTACTAGGACGCCAGCACGTGTTTAGCATACACAAAGCTTATAAACTCATGAACTTATAGTTTGGCAAAGTGGCAGTTGACTTTTCCCAGAAATGACATAACTTGTAACTATAACTTACAACTTTGGTGTTTAGAGATTTAAATATCAGAGAGATGGATATATTGCCACACACATGACTGCTGTTATTTAAAGTCCGCATATCTACCTTAAGCAAATTATGTATTTGCTAGCTATATTCATGGACAGCGCTGTTTGATTATTTAGTTTCAGTCAAAACAAAATAGTTTGAGGCAAACATTCATGGAAAATTCCTAACAGAAATTAGGCTTATAACATTTCTAACACAAATAACCAAGTTCACAAGCCACAGCAAATAAAGCCTCCTAGTGAGTTCTGCTAAGAAACATTTAGTTGAATTTGGCACCACCACCTATAATTTTAAATCAGTTATCACTTTTTCCTCATCATCGCCCAAGGACTTCAAAAACCTATCTTAAGAGTATCCTTCAATCAACATAGTACAACTGCAGCAGCTATATCCTGCCTAAAACTAATCCTGTAAAGCAGTAGAAAACAAGTCTGTCACATCTGCACGATATAACTTCTTTTGTGCCTTAGGGATCCTGTGAATCTTCCCATATTAAATATTCTATTGCAAATTCTCTATTTGCATCTACTAAGCCATGAACAGTCCTTTTTGCCTCAGCTACAGCACACGACATACACTTGTTTCACTGTGGCCAGGAAAATGCGACATTTTACAGGTATTATAGCAATGTTTATATATTGAAGGGTTAACTGCAGCAACTGTGCACTGGGATGTGAATATGAGTTTAACATATTATGAATGCCACAGT